TCTTGGGGCAATCCCGGCTCATGTGACCCGGCTGGCCACACGCATAACATGCTGAGCCCGCTGCTCGGCAGGCTCTACTGTGCGGCTTACCGCATTTGGCACAACGATCACGACCCTGCTGGCCCCTACTGTAAGGATCAAAGGTCTTAGGCTTCTTGGCCTGACCCACTACTGCCTGAACCTGCTCTGGATTCCGCTTCGTGCAGAGCTCTAACTCAATCTCCCGTTCCCGAGCCTACTCCACCATCTCATTCAGGGTCTTGCACCCTGAAAAACTCACAAACTCCCGAATATCATCCATCAACATGGAATGATACCTAGTCTTCTTCATATCCTCATCCGCAGCGTACTGCGGGACAAAAAGTGCCCTATCTCGAAACTTGGCGGTGATCTCCACCACAGTCTCGGTAGTCTACTGTAAATCCTGGAACTCTCACACCAAATGTTGCACCTCAATGGATGGTGCAAACTACTGATCAAAACTCCTCACAAACTCCTCCCAAGTCATCTCAGCCAGCCCTGCTGATCCCACCTCACGGGTCACCTCCTCTTACCAGTCTCGTGCTCGATCCCTCAACGTACAAGATGTGAACCCCACCTTTGCCGCCTCAGGGCAAAAACTTATGTGTTGGGCATTCTCCATGTCTGCGACCTAGCGTCGGCTAGTAATGGGATCCCTGACCCCGAAGAACTCATACGCTCCACACGCCTTGAACTCCCTGAACGAAGGAGCTTGGGCCCCAATCTGGCCTGCAACAATCTCGGCTCGGAAGGACCCGATTCTCTACTCCATGATCTCCATGATCTCCATGATGTCCTCCTTGACGGTACCAAAAATCACCTGGGTAGTGTCAAGGATACCACGAGTAACCTCGGTTGTGATAAGATCACGCAACCTCTCATCCATGGGCTCTACACCCGAGCTTGAACCTGATCCTGATCCTGATCCTGAACCTCGCGTGATCATCACCATCCTCAACTGAAAATATCATGAATAACCAAGATAAGGAATTCGAAAGAGATTCCTCCTCACTGGACATCTAAGAACTATCAGGTCTGTCATTGCTTTGGGTACAAGTCCTGTGATTTCAGTAGTACGGGCCCAATACTACTTTCTACACCTACGTGTACCTTCCCTAAAGCCATACCTGATATCCCTAAATCATCCAATCATAAATCATAACTCATAAATATAACACTAATTCAGATCCTAGACTTCCTTAGGATTCTCAACCCTCACCAAACTAGAAACCCAGATTAATCATAACAGGTTGCCCTATACATGCAAGTTATACAAAAAGAGAATCACATAGACTGTCAAATAAAGCTTCTACCCTAAACCACAACCAAAAAAGGGACAGGAATAAGGAAGATTCCCTCATTCTAGGGCTATGTAATCCTAAACATGTACAACTTTGAAAGCATACACTTAGCAAATAATCCATACAACCATATTTCCATATATACTATAGCATGACTAAAACATTGGGAATACTTACTTGAGCTCGGCCGATTACGCGCATTGCATTCTCCCCTTTTTCTTACAAAATTGTCTTCAAAAAATTAAACTTTGGTTTCTTTTTGAAAAGCAATTGTTACCATTTCCTCATTTTGAGTTCTGACACACCCAAAAGTGTGCCCGAATCTCTCAAACCAAGGCTCTGATACCAACTTGTAACAACCCAATTTTCAGAAAAAGTTTAAACTTTTAATTTCATAAACATCATCCATAAGAAGTACAAAAATCCCATTACATATCCATATTATTTTAGAATTCAGAGTACAAAAAGCAAAATGTGAAAACACTGGAGAATGGACGCCACACCGTCAAGCCGGGCCCTTGCCCTTATCAATAGAAGTACCTGAAACATTCAATAAAACTGTAAGCACAAGCTTAGTGAGTTTCCCAATCACACAAATCATATAATCACATCATGCCATGCTAACACATATATATACAAGTTTGCCATGAACTCCCTCCATGGTCTTCAATGGAATGTCATAGGCTATCCCATGGTCTTGTATCCCCGTGCCATGAGCTCCTCCCATGGTCTTGCCAAGTGCCATGGGCTCCCCCATGGTCTACACATAAGTCCACATATAATTCCACTAACAAACAATTATATATTCCCATACGAAACATTTCATAATCAGTAATGGGCTGGCCTTGGTGCCTTCGACCCATGAGTGTGGTGAGAAGACTCACCTCAATACTGAACGGTAGCTGACTAGGTCCCGGTTCCGAATATCAGCTCTACTCGACCCATATACAGAAACAACCCCTTAAATACAAATCCAAATGCCCTAAAACCCCTTAAAGGTCAAACTTGGTCAAGGACTAAAGTCCAAGGTAAAAGTCAACGGTCCGAGTTAACCCAACTCGTCGAGTTGTCCTTCAACTCGTCGATTTTATCCATGAATTGCACAGATCGGGAAACTCACATCAACTCGTCGAGTTCTCCTAATGAACTTGCCGAGTTGGCCTGAAATCAAACAACTTAATGCCTTAAGCTGTTTCCATCGAATCTATAAGCTTCATATCTCAGATCTACTCCCAATTGATGATTAGAAGGGTAAAGTTTCCAACTTTACCCTTAAAAACCACCACAATGAATCCAAACCTAAATCCTTGACTTAATAGAGTGGATCTTAACCCATTAAGCTCTTAAACTCTCAAAACATAGTCCCAAAACACACATCTGGTATCCCAAGGCTGGAATATCACGTAAAGTTTCCAACTTTACATCCATGCATGCAAGAAAAGAACCCTAGTGTCCAAAATGGCTTAATAAAGGACTTAATGCATGGATAAGACTTAGGACCTAGCAAAGCTTGCAACTTTATGCCAAGAGAGGTCATGAAAGGGTCAGATCTAACATAATAACCCCTGGAACCCTTGACCTTTTGGACAACTCAACCATCCACCCAAAAATCAAGCTAAAACATCCAACAAAGAGATCTAGAAGATAACAACACAAGGTATCGACTTTATACCTCAAAAGAACTGCAACAAATGGAGAGTTTCTGGATCCAAAGCCTTCCTTCCAAAGTAAGCTCCTCCAATCTTCAAACTCCTTCCAAAGATTACCAAAAACCAACTCTCCAAGCACACCACCAGTGGCAGAACACAGAAGGGGCCAACGGTGGCCCTGGCCCCCCTGGTTTTTTATCTACTATATACCACTTATCATATAGTCAGTAGGTGTATAAATTAAGTTTTTTAAAAAGCAAATGAACGGCCCCTCCAGATTTTATGAGCAGCTAAGTATCAGTTAAAAAAAAAGAAAAAAAAGTCAAAACCGACATATTTGATTAAGAAAATTATCAACTGAAAATCCATTAAATTTGGAAACTGAATAACTAACTCTATAAAGATATTAAAAAACCAATTATCAACTCACATCTTCACAATAATAAATAAAAAAACCAAAAATTCTCCTCGTCGTTGCTATGTCTTCTTGCTCTCTATCTCTCTCACCTGGTTGAGTCGTCGGACTGGACAAACGTGTTGTTTTTTCTTCAAGCTTTCCTCTTCGTCGGAGTGCAGGTACGCACTCCCGCTCATGTATTTATATTTCTGTCCCTAAAAGGTATGACATTCCTTCTTGGTTTCTCTCTTTAAAAGTGAAAGTGTAACAAAGTAAATTAAATAAAAGAAAGGTGAACTCTTATAACATGCAGAGCTACCCACTCCATGAGTTGTCTATGTCAAATAGTATATATGGTCTAACTTATGTGCAAATTGTCAAACCCGTAAATCAAAACAGTAAAATAAACAAATGAGTATAAGTGTACTGACCCTATTTTCCAAACGATAGAGAACTCTTTGTTTTATTTTTATTTTAAGATTGTGAATACAAATAAAATAGAGATTATATAATATTGATTATTTGTATTTGTATTTGTTTTATCAAATTTAGTCGTTAGTTATTAATTTATTTTTCTTATGTAATATATATTATTATGAAAAACCAATTTACTATGCACGAATTTGTTAACAGAAAACAAAAAAATTTCCTATACTGGTTGTGTTTGGAAGTGTTGGTTTCCACCCCCAAAATCCGGTGCTCGTGTTCCGCCCTTGCACACCACAAGCTCACACACTCAACCTTGGAGGATAATACACGAAATTAGGGTTTTCTGGACAAAGAGGCTGGTAAAGAGGCCAGTCAAAAGATTTAAGGTCGTTAAATAGGGTGCAAAACCCTAAGATTAGGGTTTTCTTCACAGTCGCCAACTCGCCGAGTTGGGACACCCCGACTCGTCGAGTTCGAACAAAAATGTCCGCGGCCAACAACCCCTCGACACGACGAGTTGGAGCGTCCAACTCGTCGAGTTCCCACATAACACAAAAATAGTAAAATAACATAAGCCTATTCTAAATCCAAATAAGAATATGATAAAAAAAAAGTAGTTAACTAGAAGGGGATCTTAAAAGAGCTGTAGTAAAATCGTTATAAATTTAACTATTTTTTTAATCGGCAAACATATACTCGTCATATAACTCCAAACTACTATTTTTTCCAAGATTTAAACCCCCAACTTTAATGTTGTATTTGTTTAATGAAATGAAAAAAAAAACACCAATCCTAATGATTTAACGTTAACAAAATGTAAGGAAAAAGAGATAAGCTATATATTTTGTTGTCGACACCTCGTTCTAGAAGGAGAAACTTTGAATAGTTAAAATGAGAATTGCATTTTAAACGAAACCGATGAATTAATGAAAAGACTTGTTTATTCCGTAAAAAAAATGAATGATGTACGACCAAAGTTCGTTTCGCACGAACCCAAAAAAGTAATGATAAATGTATGAAACAAGGCGAGGACAAGACTTGTTGATTCTTTTTTAAAAGAATGATCAACGATGAAAGTTGATTTCGCCATGCATCTTCCCAAAAGTAAAACAATCATGTAAAACACCAAAAACCTTATCCGTATTAAATTCTTTAGCTTTAATCCATTCATATGAGTGAAATTAGAAGCGAACTTGCAAGTTACTTTTCGTGTGTTCAATTCTTGAATAGTTATGAGCAAGTTGGAGAATCTGTTCTTGATATCTTCTTTTTCATTTGTCGGTTATTGTCATCTATAAAAGAAGGCTCAACCCTACACACAAATTTTCTCATCTATTTCTTCCCTTTCGAACCATGACTAAAGGTGGATTTGCAATGACCATACAGACTTTACTCGCTAGGTCGTGCTCTCATTCTCTTAGTTTTCTTTGATTTTCAATCGTCAAATTAAGATTATATATTAGGTGTGAATGTGGAATCATAGGTCTCCTTACTTCTTCATGATCAACGTTAGACGAATGTAGTCTTGTAGATTGAGAAAATACAAACACATGATGCAGAAAGAGTGGGAAAACATATGGATGAAACTTCTACAATCCTTTTGGCACTTCCATTTCAGGTTCCTTTATATATATAAATATAAATTAACAAAGTTTTATATATAACATGCAGGAGGAGGAGTAGCATAATTTCGAAGGCAATGGTGGAACGCTGCATGAGCAAGGTGGCCAAAGGAAATGAATGTTATGATTACGAAGAAAGTGAAGTACAATCACAGTCATTGAAGAATAAAGTACAAGGAGAAAAGAAACAATACGATGAACAAGAAGAAGAAGAAGAGTGCTGGATCCCACATCGTCGTACGGGAATATATTATCCGAAAGGACATGAATGGGTGATGGAAGATGTTCCTGATGGTGCTGCTTGCTTTGCTTACAGTTATTGGCTGAGGAACAGTGATAGAGACGGAGTTTGATGATTTATTATATGATATTTTATAATATAGTGAATACTATGTGGCGTTAATGGGTGAACGTGGATACTGGTTTTTAAGTCTTTTTATCTAGGATATAAAACACAACAATAAGAAAACATTAAAACTAAAGAAGTGATATGTAACGTATAATTGTACAGTTGGGATAAATCACCTCGGCTTACCTGAAAATTTTGCATCGCAACTTAGTGCTTCAACTATGCGGCTTTCCACACGAATAAAATTATGTTGTTAAAGTTTTTGACAAATACTCGTTAAGGCTATACCGAGTGGGTGGATAACTCACCCGTGAGATGATAGCCAAATCACATGTGAGATGGTAACAAACACCACACCCACATGTCTTGTGAAGCTGTGAGCTCCGATGATATTGCTACATCCTTTACAAGGGAGAGAGAAAGACCGACACACTCTCCCTCTCTCTCTCTCTCTCCCCCTAAATACAATTAAAGTATTGTCATTACATATAAAATAATAGCTTTTATAGTAAGATAAAGTTGATATAATTCTTTTATTATCTTAAATCATTACAAAAAAGATATATTTAATAGAAAATTGGAAATTAAAGACTTATATTAAAATAGTTAAATGTAATTCAATAATTAAAATTCAAAATAACATGGTTAAATATAAATATTTTCAGCGATATTTTTTTGGAAGCAGTCAGCTATATATTAGAAAAGAAAATGTAACATCCCGACTTCCACGTATAAATTTTAAAGCTTTATATATTTATGTTTTTAGACCAACTCGACGAGTTGGATGCCCCAACTTGTCGTGAAGAGAGGGTTGAAGCCACGTGGATTCTAGACCCTACTCGACGAGTTGATGGACCCCAACTTGATGAGTAGAGGTTGTGTATGAAAACCCTAATTTTTAGGGTTTGCACCCTATTTGAAGGACCTTAAGTCTTTCCTTCCAGCCTCCTTACCACCCTTTCACGTCCAAAAGAAAACCCTAATCGATCTAACACTATTTTTGAGTGTGTGTGAGGCTAAAAGTGTGTGTTTGGTGCATTTCTTGAAGAAGCTTGAAGATTTAGAGGCTTGGAACGAGAAGAAGTTTGTAGATCCAATATCTACATTGTTTTGGCATCCATTTGAAGGTAAAAAGTCCTTACCTTGGCTTTCCATTCCTTAGATTTCTTCTTATGTTAGTATATGGGCATTTTGGTTCAAAAAGGGGGTCATACTCGAGTTTGAGCTTGTCATGAGAACAAGGTTTCAGATCTGGACTCCTCTAGGCCCTTACGGACATAAAGCCTCAAGCTTTATGAAGCTTTGGCCCTCTTCTATGTCCAAAACTCCTTTCTGAGACTAGTTATGAGTGTTTTAGTTTCTTGGAACCTTGCATGCACGTAAAGTTAGCAACTTTACGTGGTAACTACACCCTAGGAATTTAGATCTACAGTTTGGAGCCTTGGTTTCGCTTAAAAGCGTTTGAATGGAAAAAGGGCTGAAGGAACTCGACGAGTTGCATAGTCAACTCGATGAGTAGGATGAGGGTTTCCCGTTTCTGGATTCTACATGAACTCGACGAGTTAGTGAGTTAACTCGACGAGTTGGTTAGGGTTTTCACGACATTTTGGACACTGCATGGACTCGACGAGTTGTCTGGAAACTCGGCAAGTCAGTAAGCTGCACTCGACGAGTTGGGTCAACATGGATTGTTGACCTTAACCGTTGACTTTGACTTTAACCAATGGTTGACCAGTTGACTTCTGAGAGTATTTTGGTAAATTGGGAATTTATGGAAGTGGATCTTGGTGGTTGTAGGTGTTGGTGTTTGGAGCCGTGTTTCGGGAGTTTGATATTTCAATCCCATCGACATTGTGAGGTGAGTTTTCCTCACTATACTCAAGGGTTGAAGGCACTATGGCCGGCCCTTTGGATTGTTATCTTGCTTTATTGCTAGTGTGATCTGTTAGATTGGTATCCTGGTAGATAGGATGTTGTTATGCTTAGTGATCTGTAGATCGGTTTGGTTGTCTGTGGACTGTTATGTGATTATCTGATATATGTGCACATGATTGATTGATGGTTGAGGCTTATCTGCTTGTGCGAGAGCCAACAGACCAGGGCATTCCAACCCGATGGTTGTGGGCCAAGAGTATTCTATCTCGAGGATGATTGGACTTATAGTATGTGGGCATTCCAACCCGATGGTTGTGGGCCGAGGGTATACCATCCTGAGGATGATTGGACCCATAGTATGTTAGCATTCCATCCGATGGTTGAGGGCCTGGAGCATTCCAACCCGATGGTTGATTGGGCCCATAGTATGCTGTTATTATATGTGTGTTATTTGTTGTGCGGGTATTTTGGAGGAACTCACTAAGATTTAGGCTTACGGTTGTTGATTTTGTTTCAGGTACTTCAGATGATCACGGGAAGGCGAAGGCGTGATCGTGCACCTCCTCACATTTTTATGATCTTGATATCTGGGATACTCTGATATGAAACTATTTTGAAAACATTTTGTAATAATTTAAGGTTTTTGAATGGTTGAAAAAGTTTTAAATTGGCTTGAATTTTATGGATGTTACAAGTTGGTACCAGAGCCTTAGTTTGAGTGAATTGGAGGAACACTCGTGTAAATCCAGTCTCAAACTAAGGAAATGATTTTCAAAATGATTTTTTTCAAATGGTTTTCAAAATAAGAAAGGAGGATGCAGAGTGTACGATCAGCCGGAGCCAATAAGTAAACCCCAAAATACCATCTAGTTATTTGATACTGTGATATGTTAGAACAACATGCTAGAGATAGGCTAGGGATCTTCATGAATTGCATGATAGAATTACTTGATTATATGATGCCTGATAGCCTATGGTTTTCTTTATATGGAATTAACATCATTATTGTAGTTGCTCAGTGTATGCATCATGGTTATACATAATTAAGATCTTACAGCCTGAGAATGTTCGGTTTAGCCTTATTTCCTGTTCTTGTTTGATGAAGGGCTTAGGGTAGTATCAGATATTCGAAAGTCTATAGGGTACAACATTATGTATGACTAGCATACACTAGTGCTGCAGGGTTGGTGGAAGTTTCATGGGTGAGTTGTGCGGGGTCAGTCGGCCAGTTACGAGATATTTAGCCTTCCTCTAGGAGTGAGGATTGAGCGCTCGCCATGCATATGTATATTGTTAGGGCGTTGTGATGATACTTGAGACAGATATAGGTATGTGTGGAAGGTAGTATGGGCTCGTACTACTGAAAGCACAGGACTATACGCGTAGCAAGGAAGTCACAACCCCTAGGATTTAGTTGGGAGTTGGTTCCCCATTGATTATGCAGATTATCTGATATTTTCCTGGTGTATTTTCAGTATGGTGGTTACGAGGCGATTTGAGACCGGATCCGGGTCAGGATCAAGAGCTGGCAGCCTGGATATGCCAACATTGACAGAGGATCATATCAAGGAGATCATCTGCGAAGAGGTGGTCGAGATTGTCCGGGGAAGATTTTGGAGATGTCTGGGTCTATCAAGACCGCCATGATGGAGTATTTTGATGATAGATACGCAGCCATTGCTGATACTGCGGCTACTTCAGCCTCCGCAGCTGTGGCGGCTGCAGGTACGGGGACAGGGCGAGCTTTTCAGTACCGGGACTTCGATAACACGAAGCCCTCGACTTTCGATGGGACTCAGGATCCGATCATAGACATGAGGTGGCTGTCTGACGTGGAGGGGTGTTTCTTCACATGCTCATGTCCTGCTGACCAGAAGGTTAGATGTGCTATGAACCTGCTGAGGTCCGGAGCAAAGGACTGGTGGAGGTTGATAACAGGGTCATATTCTGATGAGCAGCGATCGGCAATTACTTGGGATCAATTTAAGGAGATGTTCCGCGCTCGCTAGATTCCATGGGTTGAGCGAGAGCGGCTATCACAGGAGTTTTTGGATTGAGACAGGGTACGGAGACGGTGACGGAGATCACCCGCATGTTCACTGAGAGGGCGATGTTTTTCCCAGAGTTTGCATCCGAGCAGGCTCAGATGACTTGTTATCTGAGCATGCTCAAGACTAACATCAGACAGTTTGTTGCTACCCAACGATGTGTCACATTACTGGAGTTACAGGAGGCCGCTAGGCGGCTTGAGCTTACGATTAAGCTGCAGTTGAGAGAGCGGAGGCAGGCCCCGACGTAATCGCAGCCGGCACCGAAGCGATCTAAGATCGCTGATTCTAAGTCTGGGGGTCAGCCCGGCTACACTTGTGGGAAGTGCGGGAAGGCTCATTCGGGGGTTTATCGATCTGGTAGCGGGTGCCACAAGTGTGGCAAACAGGGCCACATTGCTAGGGATTGTAGGCAGCAGACTCCAGCTTCGGGGGTCAGAATTTGTTACCATTGTGAGCAGGTGGGCCATATGAAGGCCTAGTGTCCCCTACTAGCCTCCAAGCCGGCACAGGCTCTCGCGCCAGCTACATTGAGGATTACTGACGGGGGTCAGGGTAGTGCAGAGCCTCCGAAGGCTCGGGGACGTGCCTTTCAGCTTGCAGCCGAGGAGGCGAGGACGGCGCTAGGTGTGGTTGCTGGTATGTTTCTATCCTTTATCTTACTGATTATATATGTTTTATGCTTATGTGTTTGTACATATGTTATGTACGTTCTTAGTGAACTCCTTACCTGCGTTGGTATTATTTGACTCCGGGGCGAGTCGGTCTTTTGTCTCTCGGTCGTTCAATAGGGAGTTTGGTTTGCCTGTAGGGCATTGCGAGTCTCTATCACCAACGAACACGGGATTTCTGCTTCTTCAGTCTATCGGGGATGCGTTCTGGAGATCTTCGGGGTATCTTTCCCGATAGACTAGATTTCGATTCCCATGGGGGATGTATGTGTGATTGTGGGTTTCGATTGGTTGAGTCGCTTCGGTGCCATGATCGACTGCGAGGGTCAGCGGGTGGTAGTTCGAACCCCATGTAGGGGAGAACTGGTTATCTACTGCGAGGGCACCAGATTGGGTTCAAGGTTTTGTTCAGCTGCCAGGGCTCGGCAGTATATTCTGCACGGGTTTGCGGGTTACTTAGCATATGTGGTGGATACGCGGGTTAGAGATCAGGTCTCAGTTTCAGAGGTTCTA